ATACGAGTTAAGATATAAGAAAAAAAAAAATACATTCGTATCTCACGATATTGCACAGAAATGTGTGCTACCTTTCTCGAATATACGTTTAGAAGCGAACTCTCTTTCCGTCGATTTATATCGCTGCATTTCCGCGAGGCACGCTGCGTTTATACATTCGCAAAGTCGGTCGGGCACCGCATTTCGATCTACGAATAACTCCGGTTACTATGGGCACGCAAACCAGGTCGGGCTCTTGAATTTTGACTTCCAGTCGGCCAATTACTCGCGGCCAGATTTTTACGTTGTAAATATCCCACCGCTGCGGACTGGAGATTCGCGGTAATACCGATTTACGAGCCAACTATTTCGGCGTGCAGCTGCACGGGTTTGTTGCACCGCAAAGTCGGTTATTTATCGTCGCGGGGATCTTCACGAAGTTGATCCTCGCTCGGAAATTTCGGCTCAGCTCGCAGCACGGGACACGTCGTGTTTTATAAAATACTTCGCAACGATCTTCGGCGACGTCTTCCAACTCGATTCGAGAGTTCTCAGATGTCTCTTTTTAAAACGTTACTTTGCCGTGATCGCTATCGCTAGAAAATACGACGCTATGTCGAACTTCTACTAATTTATTAATCTTTAAGCTATACTTAGCCGTTTGTCGAACGGGACATCCGGTGCGAGAGCAGCTTCACGTGGCACGCGAGAACCGAGCGGCGGCCTGGCGTGTGTAAATTAGGTAACCTGTTCAGATCTTCTCTCGTGGACTGGTTTGGCGACTCTTGAGGCAGGTCGTGGCTCGGCGCAACATCGTTGACCTCGAAGAGGATACCTAGTCCGTGAATGGACCACTGCTACCATTGACTGCCGTCGTCTTTTATAACGTAGCACTTGTGGGTCGACATAAATAACTGCAATCCAAAGAGAAAATATTTTTCTTTTTCTTGTACTTCAGTGGGGAAATGTGCTAGATTCGATTTGTGAAGTTAGCATGACATCTTATTAATATAAAAAAAATAATAACAGTAGTGCTTTTTATAATTCTACAGTTCCTTATAAAAATTAAAGAATTCCACATTTTTTAAAAGCTAAAATTGAAAAAGTAGCAGTCGAGCTTTGTTTAAAAATGATTGGAGAACATAGATTTCTGTTAGAACTAACGAGAAATGTTACTGAAATTACGATATAAATTAACAACACGATACTTTCTTCCAAGTGCTGTGATGGTCCAAAAAAATTATTTTTAAATCTGTGGTTAGCTGAATTTTTAGATATTTCAACAAAATTTTCCCGTTGATTTTACTCGTAAGTCTCATTGTACACCGATGTGCAAACAAAAATATTATGTTCGCTTATAACATAATGGATTTATCTTGATAATAATTTATCATAATAACAACTTATTAATTGCCTTTCTCTTTAGTAATTATTAATTATTATAATGTAATTTAAAAAAAATATTATGTTCCCTTATGATATAATGGACTTATCTTGATCACAATTTATTAACAACTTATTAATTACGTTCCTTTGATAATTACTAATTATTATAATATACTGCTTGGATAGTGATGCCAAATTAAACAAATATTTAAACAGATAGATGATATCTAACTCTCTCTATAAATATTAAAATTATAATTTACAGATGGCTTTCCTAGACTTGTACTAAAAATTCCTTTTGCTGCGATACAATTAGTCCTTTTATATTAACGTTAATCCGCAATGTGTGTAACATTTACGGCGGGTCGTCCGTTTGTACCTGCCACTCGGTCGAGAAGTTCGGTAAGTGTTCCTTCAAGCATATTCTGTCAAGTTGCTAAAACACTTCGCAGATTAAAGTGATTAACAGGTTGGCTACCGGTTGCCCTGAGTACACCGTGCCCGTCGAACTTTAGCTTACGTCTTGCGGAACACCTTGTCGTGTTGGCAAGTTCGCTTGCACGCACTCGCAAAATACTTTTAGAGTAACGCGGTTAGTTTCGCTAACCACTGAATATTCACATTATTATCGTCTAGAAGTTGATAACGAAAAACCCTTTATCAAGAGACTGTATTTTAAAGTAGAAATTTATGGAAATTTTTTAATGGGATAATTATTCTTTTGTTTGACTAATATAGACGCTTATAAAATGTTTATTTAGATTCGTCGAAGAATTAATTAAACGATTAAAATTGTTATATAGAATTGCATAATTAAAAAGTTCTCTTTATCGAAACGTAAATAATTTAACGTTAGAATCGTCGCAATAAAATAGTACCATTTTAGCTCTACCAATTGTATTAATTTTCTTTCTTTTTTTGTATTGAATATACAGTACAGAATATAGTACAGAATATAATACAAATAATTCTAACAACACAAATAATACCAAAACGACTTTTCATTAAACGGAAACAAACAAATTATTAATTTGGCACCTGTAGAAGTTTTAGTGGGGTACCATCGGTGGTTCTACTGTTAAACCGAAGAAATATCTCCGAAATTTGCATTACTTCCTCAACACAACAGCATTTATCCTAACAGATGACACTGCAAGTATTATATCCGTTCAGATGCAATGTTGGATGCAGAAGTGCATGAATATATATACATATATATATATATATGTATATATACTATTATATATAAAATTAATATTGGTTGGAAACTTGAGCTTGTTTGACTTAGTTCGTTACCAATAAATGTGCTATATTTCGAGAAGTGATCAGGTTTCGCTATACCTCAGGGACATGATCGTAGATCGTAGCGATGTGTACTATAACTATTCGGTAACTTTAGTTATTATCAGTTTAGACTGGTAAACCTCGGATTGAGCTAATCCTCTCTAAAGCAGTATTTGCTGATGAAAAAAATCTATTATACGAAGAGACATACACTTCAGTATCATAATTGCAATAAAATGTTAAGATTATCCTATTAGAAAATTTCCTTTAAAACTAAAGAAAGAAGGAAAATATGAAACGAAAAAAAAAAAGTCTTTTATATACTGTTGGCTCTTTTAGATTTTTAGTATTTAAAATACCGAGAAAACAATATTTTACCGAGAGTAGAAAGAAAATAAAGTGTATTAAGAAATTTCTTTAGTTATTAATAACTATTAAACATTCGAGATCTCCGATAAAATATCAAATAAAAAAGATTTATGATAGAAGCAAGCTATCATCTTTCTTATCATGGTCGTCACAAGCGATAAAACCACACCCCTCAAATCTGATGTATGCGTCGTTGTCTTCATCTAAAAAGCACGGAGGAATAACAGTGGGGCGCCCATTAACGACGCGTATCTCACGCAAGATCGAACCAGAATAATGCCCTCTTAAGATGATCACCGACTTAGTTGGCGGAAGGACTCGTCGAGATGGTCGTGTTAACAATCCCTCGTGAACGAACGAGGCTTGAAGGAAACAAATCGGCGAATCGTTAACGATCGTATTTACCGGGAGGAAACTAAATTAAAAAAAAGAAGTATCGGCCTATCGGCTAGGTATATCGCCACGTCCGCTGGGCAACAGATAATTAAAGATTAAAAGCGCTCTCGCGCTCCGCCCTGCGTCTAATACGCAATCAATGTTGTCTCACATTTTACATTATCTTACGTTTTATATCTCGCTTTAATATACTAATAAAAACTAGTAATAATCATAGGTATCTCATTAGGCGTTTCGACATAAGAAAAAATTAGTCATACTATTTGCAATAAGGAGCGAAAGATCAATCACGTTTCTCACTACGATCGCGAATTTGCGTTCCGCTGAATGATTAACGGTGTTTTGGTAACGGCGGTTTGGGGTGAATCCGAGATGCCGATACCTCAACCGTTTCTCTCCTCGTCGGCGGCAGCGATATCGCGAGCTACTCTCATAGAGCCAAGTTCGCGTACGCGTTATTGGATTGCGGCGGATACCGCGGCTCAATTATTTACACTCGCGTTCTCTCTCTCTCTCTCTCTTTCTTCCCTTTCTCTATCTCCCTCTTCCACTCTGTACGGCGGCGATCGCATTCGCGGTAATAGAACCGCTGATTTACTGGTTTAGCTCGGCCGTCTATCGCCTGGGCTACGTTCAAATTAGTTCCAGCGTATCGACGGGAGATGTGTTCTTCGAGGGTATCGATGCGCCCTCAGATCGCACCCCATTGCCAATATCCCTAAGGTATTAAGCCAGAAGGTTCGGTAATTAGCGCTTTGAGCGGAAAGATTAACCTGTTAACGAACCGGATCGATAGTATAATAAACTTTCCCAGGTTATAGACGAGTGTCTGAAATGGAATGATCGAGATGCAGGAGAGAAATGAAACGACCGCCGTTTCTCGAACTGTAAATACGCCGAATGACGAGGGAAGGTACGTCTCGATGCGCTCGTCCGATTCATACTCGCGCATTTGCTCTAATCACGGTATTATATATTGTGCACCGGCGGATAACTCGCGGAGTCGCACCGAGACTAAGTAAAGCGCGTCGGAGAGAAGAGAGACGTACCGGGAATTTATGCAGACAGCCGGGCGACGTTGGCAAGACAGCTCGCTTTATGCTGATCCTCTTATCCCGAGCCGTGAGAATCCGCGCGCGCGGGCGAGCGTATCTAAGCGTGCAACACGTATCGCGTTTACGGCACGTGGAAACAAGGAGAATCGGAAGATGGGGAGAAGCTCGAGGAAAATAGGACGGCTTACGAACTGCGAGGTGAATGAAGCCGCGAAAGAAACGAGCGCATCGACCCGTGGAGTAAATCAAAGCTCTCCGTTATTATTCGCGTCGCGAACGCAAACGATCTGTGGACATTCGAGAACTGTGGTAGTTCGAAACTGCGAGCGAACGGAATAACATCTCCGGGAAAGAGCGTGGAAAGAGAAAAATGTGTGGCAGGAGAAATACATACGGTAAATTTATCCTTTCATCCGCCAAATGGCAAAAATATGTCAGCGATTGATCTCTCTAGATCTTCCACTGTTATATATTCGTATCTGAAAAATGTGCAGGTATATGTGGATATATAGTTTCGTTACACTGTCGCAGGTATATTCACGGTGATGTGCTACAACGTGCTGTGCGACAAGTACGCGACGCGGCAGATGTACGGCTATTGCCCGAGCTGGGCGCTGGACTGGGAGTATCGAAAAAAGGGTATCCTCGACGAGATACGACACTACGCCGCGGACATCATCAGTCTGCAGGAGGTCGAGACGGACCAATTCTACAATTTTTTCCTGCCGGAGCTCAAGCACGACGGTTACGACGGTATATTCTCACCCAAGTCCCGCGCGAAGACGATGGCGGAAAACGACCGCAAATACGTCGACGGCTGCGCCATTTTTTACAGGACCGCCAAGTAAGTGCATTTCCTTGTATCTCTCGATTCGGTGTGGCGATGATAATGCATTACGTGACCGACGAAAACGCGGCGGAGCCGTAAGTATGGGTTGCGACGAAACGCAGTCATAAGCGTCACTTGAAACAGATTGATCTCTATTAAACGAAAAGTTTACGATTTATCGCGTTAGCTTTTCCCCGCGTCGAAGTCAGACAGTAAGTTCAACGTGCCGAGAATAAACATATCGCAGAGTCTGCCATATACAAGAAGGTAAAAATATTTATTCCTCTACTTTATTTTTCTTCTCCAACGATATTTTTAAGATATTTCTAATAAATTTCCTAATTTTCTACATTTTTATAAGAAATATAAGTTTTTATATAATATTATATGATTAACAAACGAATGTCTATATATAATGTTGACAGATAATTGTTCAAACAATCGATTTAATTCGCGGACAATTGAAAGTTATTACACGTGAGGGAATTTTATATCACTTAGGGCCGGTTATCCCATCTTCGAAACTGATAATTTATCTACTGGATAATTAAAAGAGTAGAAGAGCAAGAAAGTAAGAGAGCGAGCTAAAGTTTACCGAGAAAGGTGGAACAATCCATTTTTTTACAATCTTATAACATAAGAGGACGTCACGTTAATTTGTCATTTCCCTTTGCATATTTTCCTATCACACTGAGCGTTCTAATTGGCTCGCTGGAGGAAAAAGGAAAAATGATTATCGATAGTCTAGACGCTCCGGCAATCCTTCGATTTATTAAGAGGCGTGGTAATTTAATTAATAAACGCAAGATGGTGCAGTAGAAAACGTTGTCCAATGTAATACAGTTATCGATCACGTGCAATCGAATGCTTCGCGAGTAAATGCCCCGTGAAATTTCTCAAAAGATCAAATCGATAACATCATAACGCGTAAATTATGGCAAAAGTAAAGTAGTAAAATGTTAATAATCAATTGATTTTTAAAACAGTTTATTACTCCGATTTATGATTTTGCCTTTTATGATATATATTATATCAGCGTGTTCAATTAATCTTTGTATATAGTTTTATTTTTAAGGAAATATATTGTAAATGACAAGTGACAATTTAAATCTGAAATACTTGGTACGCAAATGCTTCGTTGCTTTGATGTATAAAGCCAATGGGTGGTGAAACAATTTTTTTTAATTATTCGATATTACTTGTTTTCACAAGATCCTACATATTCGATATTCAATTATTTCGTCAAAGATTATCGTTACCGCCTTTGCGGAATCAATTATAGAACCGCTCTCAACGCTTCGATACTGAAAACAACGGAGCCTTCCAAAGCGCGACATTTAATTCCGAACGGGATGAAAGATGCATCCGCTCGTAATTTAACAAAGCGTCGCGCGCGTGTCTGGCGTGTAATAACGTCATGGTAATCCAATATCGCGTCAGATAGTAACGCCGCGTCGTAAATCGCCGTCTGTGTTTAATAGAAAAGCGAACGCGACGCTTTCACGAGCAAGCATTTTCTCGTATTCGACGAACAAATTAACCGGAAATCGATGGATTCCTCCATGACGAAAATAATATTGGTGCTCGAAAGAAGCGGAACAATATCTTGAAAATCAACTCTTAAAAGAGAAATAACAGTAACAATAATAATAATTATTATTATTATTATTATAACGATAGTGAGAAAAATAAATGAATGATATTAAATACCTAGCAATAATTATAAAATAGAAACATAACACCATTGTTATAATTTTACACTCAACAAAGTAACTGTTATGTAATTATATGTTATACATTATATTTATAGTGTTGAGTATAACATCTTAACATATTAACGTTATGTTGTTATTGCCAGTTGGTGTTGACTGGGAAAGCGTGAATAAAGAAAAATTTAAATAACACTAAGATTTTAAGAACAATTTTAAAAGATGTCCTAAAAGAAATTTCTCAGTCAATTACTTGAATAATTACTTTTCGGGGGAAAAACGAAAGAAATCTATGACAATTTTGTGCTTATTTCCTTTTGCATGTCGTGCACAGACGCGACACATTTCCGATTTCAATGAACCTGATTTCGATATCGTCGCACGCGTTACCGCATCGATACGCACAAATTGCCTTTGCGATGGCCACCAACCGGAGAGCGTCCCAGCTGCACGTGCACATTGTCTATGACGCATTAATCAATGCGCCCGGCCGCTCTTCTGCCCGAGATATCTATTTAGATTAATGTTTATTTTCAAAATATCTCGCGGCATAATGGTAGGTTTCCACGATATCACATTTGCAGTGCCGACCCCAAAGCTATCGAAACGCGATTAATGCGCCCGTATGCATGCGTCGCGCATAACAGTTCCCTTTATAACCCAACGTCGTAAATAGATGAAGTAAATGCCTCTGTACGTGACAATATTAAGGTCAATGGCAGCGAACGTGTCCTCCCTTCATCCCATCCGTTAAATGCTCTGCGGCAGGATGCAAGTCGTTTTAACTACCGCATCGTTTGCAGTATTAAACATCATTTAATTTAGGGAGAGTGGCTCGTAAACTCGAAAATATCGGGATCAAAGTTTTTGTAGTTTAATTAGTAAAATTATTCAACGGAACTTAAATAAAAGTTTTTTTTCTTTTTAAAGATAGTTTATTTTATTAGACACATAAAGGATATTTCGGTATAATTTTACTGTAAAAAGTAAAATGTTAATTTTAACTCAAAGACGTTGAGTGGATTTTCTAAGCATGCAAACATGTTAACATTAACACAAAAATGTTAATTTTAACATTTTTGCATATCTCAGAAAATCCACTCAACGTCTTTGAGTTAAAATTAATATTTGATTTTTTAGTGTTTTGATATGAAACCGAGTAACTCGAAAATATATCAAGAATTATTCAATGAAACTTAAATAAATATGTCTCTCTTCAAAAATATTATATTTCACTAAGACACATTACTAAAGATGCTTTGTATAATTTAGCATAAAGCTGCGAAGAATCATAAATACATTTCACGAACGAATATAGCAATCGCCACGTCCGTCTGACTAAAAACGATTCGTACTACTGTGACGAGGGGACTTTCTCTTCGCTTTATCTCCTTCTCTTCTCCATCTCGTTGGACTTGACCGGCCGAAGGTGAAAAAGAGAAGGAAAAAAGAGGAGCTTACAGTTTTACGGCTTGCAAAGATGTGGCCGTCGATTTCAATCTGGCTGCACAACGCGACTAAATCGACCGAACCAAATCAGCGTTCACGCGATGAGCGTAAAGTTCAACTCGCGTTCAATTTCCGCCTTCTGCGCTCGCCCCTCGATCATTCCCAACTTTATTGCCTCGTCGCGAGTTATACGGCGCAATGTCGAAGTGCCGATTAAAAAAAAAAAAAGGTCGGAGGAAAAGGGAAGTAGGGAACTTACTTTGCACGATAACAACTAGTCAAATTCTGTAAACCATCAAACAATACACACTTTTCTGGCGCAACTAATTTCATTTTGGAATGTGAGAAATAAGTCGTGTAAACTAAACGTAAACAATGTACTTAATTATATACAAAGAACGATTTATTGAAATAAAAATTTCGCTAGATGTAGATTCGGAGATAATTTAGTTAAAATCAAAATAAGTATGTAGAACACTTAAACGTTAATGACAATGCTACATCATATTTTGCCAATATTCTAACAACCTATAGTTAGTATAATAGTCTAAACGAAATTATTTTTAGATCTACTATTGTATATAGCTACTTCAAGAGAGCTATTCTCTCTCTCTCTCTCTCTCGTTTGTTATAAATATAATTATACTGTATGTATTTTATAAATTATAATTATTGTAAGTTTTATTTATATGTATACAACGTTTTTACTTGATTTTTGTATTAAAATGACGTCTTTTTAATTTCTTTTTAATTTAATAACGAATCGAGACGGAGAGCTGTTTCAGACAACGGGGAAAAGTCAATTACGTATTTGGGATTTCCGCCGTCAACCCTCTTTCTTATTTTTGGCCAGTCCTTACCACACAAATCCTCTTTCTGCTCCCTTGAGCGACATTGTAGATGACGTTGATTCAATCTTGTTTACGACCGAGGAGAGGCTAGCCACGGGCAGAGGGGGATGATGGTTCGTATAATAGGTCTTCGGAGAAGAATATATTTCTCAAGGATACGTGCCTTACATATTGTGCTGTGGGAGTGGTCGGGGGGAGGGGGGGAGAAAGAAAAGAGAGTCCAGGTATTTTACATCGCGTACGTGGTACGCTTCCCTCACGAGTCCTCTGGTTGTGACGAAAATCGCTTTACACCGAGGACGATGATGTCGCGTCCCATCGTATCCAAGTCGTATTGCGCGCGCAAGCGTCAAGTTCTTCTACGTGTTCACGGAACAAAATTGAGTCCGTCGATCATTTACCCGGACTTGGACGACCGATTGAAGAAGAACCAGGAATTCCTTTCCCCATCGACTTACAATACGAATCGACACTGCGGTCTTCGATGCGACGATAGAAGAGACAGATCGAAATTTTTAATCCTAAATTATCTCTCCTGTTTGATAATTTACTGATATTTCTTGAATATTCAGATCTCGAATATAGTTTATTTTTTATCGAACATATTTAATTTTATATGTTCGAAATATGTTGAAATATGTGACCTAATTTTGTATTTTGTTTTACGTCTGTGTTCTTTTCATTTGTTTTTGCAGATTTTCTTTGATAAAGGAGCATTTAGTTGAATTCAATCAATTGGCGATGGCAAACGCGGAGGGTTCGGACAACATGTTGAATCGTGTTATGCCAAAAGACAACATTGGACTGGCTGCATTACTTAGGACTAAGGAAGCCGCTTGGGATAACGGTAAGTACATCGATATTTCTAAATTTAAATATTCATCTAAACGAGATGAATACTTTTTCTCAATATAAGATCGTATTTCACGGAACGTAAATAAGTTAGAGGAGTACCTAATATTTACGGCGAGTCAAATATCGTATCCAGTCTGCGATTCGAATTTGCAGGATGCTCAATATTCTTGGTTTATGCAAACGCATAACTTGGCTGTTCGAAACCGTTTTTGGTTATATAAAGAATATATGTGAGCTATACAAAGAGTACGAAATAAGTTTCATGTTTAAAAAAAAAACTTACTGAATTATTAAACTTGCCTTTTTGCTCATTCTTTCTCGAGAAGAAAACTCGATTCGATCTAATGAGTATTCGCGTAGCTTTTAAAATGTAAATCTGCATATTATACCCACATGCGGCACTGAGCATACCATAAATGCGAATCCATTTGAATATTTCAGCATTATCAGCATTATCTAGAAATAATCTCGAAACGCGCAAGAGAGGGTTAAAGATAACGTTGAACCGTCCGCGGAAGTAACTGGAAGGCGGAGAACGTACTTTCGATGCTAACTGAAGCGTCTGCTCGTTTTGCACACGCCCACGGTGAATAGCGCGTATCCAACCGCGTGTTTGCACACCCTGAAACACGAAAGTAATTAACGCGCCGGTCTCCCGATAACCGATGAAGCCGCTACTACCGGACGTGCAATATACAGAAGTCCGCGTTTTTCCCGTGGCTCGAGGAAGTGCGCGCGTTCGATGATTGAGGCGAGTAAATCGAGCACGATACCCCGGTCCAGTAGGATGTGCACAGGGTGAGCCGATAATACATACCATCTCACACTTCTACCAATTGAGCTACCGTCGACTTTTCCTCGACAAGTATCAAATCACTGATACAGTTTTATAATTTTAATTGTAAGAGATCAGAAACCTTGGCATTGCTAAATTTCAATGGTGAATTTATTTTGTCAAAATTTATTTTCTACTCTGTAAGAGAAAATACTTTGGCAAACATTTAAATTCGTCGACAGACCGTGTATTATATAGTGAACAGTTATTCCAAGTTTAGCCCTTATAAAATTGCCCTGCGCAACGGCAATGATATACCGACGCGCACTGTCGTTAAAAGTTACAAAATAGAGTCTACAGAGGGGTGTCGTTCAACCAGACCTCTTCAAAATCGGCTTCGAACTTATCGAAGAGAGCAATAAACCCGGAACACCCTGTATAAGCGACGTATCGCGGAATGCGCGAGCAAACCAGGCCCGAGATTTATATAGCAGCCCAAAGGTCGAGTGCGGCTCTTACGGCTCACTCGGACGCGTCGGAACGTGCTCTCGTTAATGAGCCATTACCTACGTTACATTAATCCATACCGGGCGCAACGACCGGCTGGGAAAAAGCGACGGACTCTTCTCGCTCTCTGGCATAGGAGGGTAATCGATCGCGTCTGCGAGACCGGCGACTCCTCGCAGCCTCCTGCGCGCTTCCTGCGCTGCGGTTAACACCTGGTTAGCTTCTTGTATATCGCAAGTTATTACTTTGAGATAGACCGCTATAGCGAACGCCAGATTATCAAATCGTCTCGTAGTATTTCTAATTTATATACGCACGTATATAAATTACGATTGTAGATATCGATATATATATATATATATATACGTAACTCTAAGAAAATTCCTCGACCATATATTATTAGAAGTGAAAGTTTTTATAAACGTCTATGAAATTAAAAATTTTGTTTCGCAGCTGAAAAAGCGCTCGTTATCGCGAGTGATCGTTCGTTAAACATCTCATTAAAAATTCTTACTGAAAACTTTTACTCGTTATGACGAGCAAATTGAAAATTTTTAATTTTCGGATGGCACTTAACAAATGCGCGAGTAAATATATTTGCGTGCATATTCTCAAAAAAAAAAAAAAAAAAAAAAACGTTTACTCGTAATAGTCACTAGTTCTTCAACATACTCTAAAATTATGAAATTCTCGATCTTCATCGTTTCCAGAGAATTTCTGCGCAAATAAGGATTAATCCTATCACCCGGCATGACTCGCAGAAGTTCGCTGAACTTCTACGAATATTCGCGTTACATTCGCGCCGTGCATTTCTCGCTTTGATGCCGTTGCTCAGCTTCTCTATGCACACATGCTTAAGACTTGGCCAATTGAGTAATCGTGAATAATCAGAACACGCCGTAAACCGAACCCGGACTGCCAGCGTTTAGATGAACAAACAGCCTAAGTCAAATATAACTGTGTATATTCATTGTTCTCTCGATGAATCACAATGCGCTCAGCGTATTTCTGTAATTCTGATATTTAACCAACTCCCCGGGTCTTGCTTTGTTTCCTCTCCACTGTTCCAGGCAACGATGTTGCGATTGCGATTATTACTCCGTGATTAATTAAAACACTTTAACTTCATGTATTTTAAAAATCTAATGTGCTACATCATTTTTGCAGTCAGATTTATATTTGCAGTATACAAAATTACGTAGAAAGCTACTTCTCAAACATCTTTCAATACTCTTGATTTCGCAAGTTTGAGTTATTATTAATATATCGTGGTAAATACATCGGCTTTATATCAACGATATTTTCAGATATTTTAACAAAATATACGATATATAATTGGAAAAAAATTCAAGAAGCGCTTAACGCGCGCGATAAGAGGACATTCGCCGGTCATTTCCTCGTGGAGATAGATGCACTCGTGTCGAGAAAAGATATCGAGATTAGATCTGGATCGAAGAGCTAAAATCCATGTAACCATGTCAGTAGGGCGCGATTAATGATCTCTCACGTTCGAATACGAGCAAACTCGAGACACGTTCCAAGCCTTATGTGGGACCGAGGTGATATCCTCTCGGCTCGGCTGGTGAAAAAGGATCGCCCGTTCCTTGAGAGGGAATATCTCCGGGATACGCGAGCCTCCATCGCTCGGACTAATAGTGGTACCATCGGCAGTACTAATAGTCCGATATCAGCTGCCGGCACGATGAACGATGTGCCGCCGTTCGAAGATATGAGGGGAGCAAGTGAGCGGATCGTTTATCCACCAGATTCTTTTCCGCGCGCAGAAATTTAAAGGCGACGTCGGAGAAACGTTAATCATTCGCCGTGCACGAGGAACGTCTTCTCTGAATCTGCGATAGCGTCCTCGGTTCTCCAAGCGATAACGCGTAACAGCTATAAAGTATAAAGATGTCGTGCCGACGTTCTTCCCTGAATTTTATACGTCGTACAGTTTTATACGATGTAATCATATATATTATATCAAGCCTGTCCAAAACTAAGAACTCGTGAATTAAACACTTCCTCCTTTCTATTATCGTCTCATTGAGCGAGAGAGAAGAAACGGACGTTAGTGCTTTGTTCAACGTCTATCTTTTTTAGTTTTCTACACGGAAAGAACGGTTTTACTACAGTGTCTAAAAATTAGCTAGATCTGAAAATAACTTTGTTGAACCATTAAAATAATTACACACAGGAATCTCGAGCATAACGAACAATGTTGCAAAAAGTTTTGACTTTTTAGCAACTATAATTTTAGCGTCCTACATAATTATTTTGAGGTTTCAAACAAAGTTATTTTCAGATCTGTATCTAGTTAAATTTTTAGATACCTACTTGTGAGCAAAACTATTCTTTCTATATATCCATTTCATTCAACGAAACAATGAAGAGAGAGAAGCGTTTAGCTTATGAGCTAAGTTTTGGACAAGTCCTTATTATACGAAAAATGCGAGTAATGTCAAAATTTAAACTGGACAAAGCTTTCAAATTAAGTATTACGGTTATTACAACTGCTTCACTTTTGCATTGTTTACTTTGAAATCACAGCTGAAATGTTCTTTAGAAGTTTACGCTCATCCTTTTTTCTCGAGGATAGAAAACCAAAGCGCCTGGCTTTACGGACGGTTAACCGGATGAAAGTTTTCTCCAGCTTAAAACGCCGGCGAACTCGTTCGGATCCCACGGGATTATTCCTCCTCGTGCCGAGGATATAACAACCGTCCGGCGAACGGAATGCATTTAGATACGATGAGGCGATACGAAGTATCGAATTTCTCGGCGGTGCGTGTAAAGGAAACAACAGAAAAAGAAAGAAAGAAGGAAGTTTAATTATTCGTGGAATGATCAACTGCTGCGCGATTACGCCTGGAAAATTAGAGCGGTCACGCTTCTAAAAGCATGATGTAAATGTTATTCGACTCGAGTTAAGATAAAATGACATTATCAAGGAGACTTTAAGGAAGTTTCATCACTGAGAGATTTCTATAATGCCGGATATGAAACAGTTAAGACGTATTGTTAAATTAAATTTATAAAATCAGCATATATATAAAGCTATAATTTTACCTTTTGTATAGTTAATATCTGTTCCCATTGCTTATACTTAGGTATACTACATTATTCTGCATCTTCGTTAATTATTATATTTAATAAAGTTTCTTATTATTATTACATCTTAAAGTATTATCGTTTAAATCAGAGGATTAGAAAATCGATTGATTCAAAGTTTTTTTCGTACGCTGTTAGATAACAAAGAAACAATATAGTAATTTCTGAGTTAAAAAGTTTATTATTTTTAATTATTTTTAATTTCTATGTCTGTAAAAATGTAATCCATCTCCATTTTTACCATTTTAGTAAACAACGTGCATATTAACGTATGTACGTATCGTAAACGATACACTAAGTCAAATACATTTGCTCAAGTTAAATTATTCTATTCTATTGTTTTCGTCAAATTAACGATATATTGGGTAGGACGATCTATAGAAATGATTAAAAATAACTCAAAAATTGTGGGTATAATTTAACAATGTATACATACACAATCCTGAGTCATTTGTGACTCAAAATTGATACAAAAAACAAGGTAGGATTTTTTTCCTAGTATGAAAAGACGCATTTGCTTGAAGCATGTACGTGCATGCGTGTTGTGTAACGTTACACGGATGATTCGCATTTCCACGACCTCGTGGCTATCGGCAGATAAA